TAACAATTCTTTTTCCTACCACCCTGTTTTCTTAGTCCTACTCCGTCACATCGACCGCTCTGTTACCTATGAGACACCGTGTTATTTCTCAGTAGAAAGGTAAAACCTTCGAAAGGTGAGCCCAGCTGCAAGATGATTAGCGCAAACAAGGACAAAAGAACGGTAATACTGTTAACCCGCCAGGCGTGAATATCACTGAGGGGCAAAAACCAGCACTGTTTGTTCTCAATGACAGTCATTCGGTTCGGTGGACAGCGAGCTCTCGGTTGGCCGTTAGATTCTGTGGGTGAACACCAGGACACAAACTAAATCCGTTCAAGTAACTGCAACCTCCCTTTCTGATTCAACGCTGCATTGTCGGGGGTTCCATTTGGTTTAGTTCAGTCTGGTCAGTTTTAATTTCGGGCACTTACCTTGCGAATACATCGGTGTTCTTTTTACTCTCTATGCGGTACCTCGCAAGGGAAATTGAGTGGCATTTGGGGAACAGGGACTCCGGGGTGTGCGCTACCATTAAAGTAGAAAGGTGCCACGATAACCACTGTTTATGGCAGACGGTACTTTTGTTGGTAGGGTCCCTCATTGCCTACGAATTTGCATCTTCTTCTCCAAAGCACTTAAAACTGCTGGCGTGGTGCTTGTTACAAAAACTGTCACAGTTAGAAGGCCCCAGAGGTCGTGGTTCAAGGGGCGCCATACTTTAAACTGACAAGAGGGGATAGCAATGCCAACTAGCAATTTCGCTTCCTAATGTGCGTGCGCTACGTTTTGTTGCAACTGAATATTAAGTTCAGTTTTTGCTCTACGCCCTTGGTGCTGGACTAATTTACTGCGGTTTACGAATGTTGTAGTTTTGCTGTCTGTTCCCTTTAGGTCGCTGCCTAAAGAGATGACACAATTCATGTTTCGACAGCCTGCTGTCCTTTCCTTTAAAAAAAGGCAAAAATCCTGATAGGATTCGTATCCGGATTATCTTGCGTTCGACGTACACAATTCATCCGAGTCTTTGTTTTTTCTCTCTAAATAATTTGTCCTTTGATTTTATCTCTGCTTTTTTTCTCACTAAATACATTAATGAGATCTTCTTAGACGTCATGATGTGAACAGGAAGTTAGCGTACACAAATCTCAGTTAGTCCTGTCTTTTGTTTGTACTGACCTTTGCCGAATTATGTTTTAAGCTTAGCACACTATTTCTTCTAAACTTGCGGACCCGCTTTTCTGCTTTGTACACTTGGCCTTTTAACTCCCCGCGCAATATACATGAGAGACGCCGACCCAAAAACGCGTCATCACCGACAAAACCCATGCCAGTGGTTAGTTTAATACAAGAAGGCTGATGAATAGGAGGATTTAAAGTGGGGGAAATGGTAACACGTAGAAGAATGTAGACGCAAAAAATAAGGAAAATCATACACATAGAGTATTGTGTTTAAGTCCACAAGTTTGGTTTGCGAAGCAGCGGTCAATTTGAAAAGCGGTGCCTCGTAGCAGTGGTGTTGCAACTTGTCTAGCGAGTCCCTAACCAACGCAATTCACCTGATAAACATAATTTATCTTTTCTCTTCAGCAATCAAGACCACATTGATTAAAGTGATTGTCGTCTCCTTCCTCTCGATAAAAAGCGTTTTGTTAAGTCTATCTTGACGTAAAAATTGAGTTAACTTGAGAGGGTTTCCCGAGGCCAATTTATTAGCACTTTCAATAATTTTGACACTTAGGTGTGTTAATTTGTGTGCATTTTTTTCTGGAAATCTACGAATTTTGTATTAGGGTCAGTTGCCAAATGTTTGAGTAGTTTCTTTCATTATGCCGGATATAACTGGCCTAAGGAGACAAAAAATGGTTGGTCAATGGAAAATTTGCGAAGGTTACAGCCATGCGAAGTCCGGCTGTCCATTTCTTCCAAACCCCCTGCATTCCTTTCAATAGGCAAAATCTGCACCCACCAGCTCCATCGGCATTGTGAAACTCTTTTTTTCTCTTCAGGCTTTACCAATAGCAGATATCCTTTGTTTCTGTGGTCATCATGTACCTTGTTTAACCTCCCTTACTTTCCTTCTTTCCTAGGTACTGGTGCTCTTTGAAGTTGCCGAATCCCAAATCGCCCGAAATGCGCCCACGATGTCCGTTTTGTGGAACTGCTGTCAAATCGCAGCCCGTTCGCCTGATCCTTCAGCACAATGCTGACGAGGAAACCCTGCAGGCCGCATTTAGCGCCTTTGATCCCTCCCTGTACCCCAGCCCTCCACTCAGCTCCAGTCCTGATGCCGTCACTCCCACCTCCGTTGACCCAACACTGCCGCCGCTGGGTGCGCAGTTGAACTGTCCTGACTGAATCTCTCTCTCCTGATTTATTTGATGCGACACCTCACTTCTCTGCTTGTGTCTGTCATTCTGCTCCTTGTCCTCCTATAATTCTTCGGAAACTCCCTCACTCGTTCTCATTGCACGTGGCACCGCGTTGACCTTTGTTTACTAAATGGTTCATATTTTTTACGCCTATCCCTCCTTCCCCCCCCTGCCTGTCTGCTACTTCCAAAGACGAATTTGTTCTTGCATCCGCATGCCTTTTTTATCGCGACTGTAGGATAAAATTGCAGACTCGGCTACGTACTCAGTGAAGCAAGTTGTTTTTCTCTTTTTTCAACAAAAATCACATCTATATTCATTTTGTAATTGCGAAGTTACAATAACGACCGGATATGCGGTCCCACTAAGAAAGCAGGAGGTAAGGCCTTCTGCGATTTGGGAATAGCGGTCGTGTGGAGGGGTATATAGAACTGACTGATAATTGTTTCCGGGAATAAAAAGTCGAAAAATTAAGTAGACGCTATTAGCTTGTCTCAAACACCAATCAGACGTAAGAACACCAGGACGAAATTCTCAATGTTTGAAATTGTAAGCTGTAAATAAGCAGAATAAAATACATACCAAAGGTATTGGTTAGGCTTTCCAGGAGAACTGATCCCAGGATATATGATTTAATCTGACTTTCGTGATGGTCGTCATTAAAAATATGCTTGAATTCGGCAATCTTAATCGCTAAACCCGAAACTGTCAGCCCTATGCCAAACTTAAGTGATAACACCCTGAGGGAGGCGTGATGCGCAATGACCGAAAAAGCAGGGAGCTTAAAGTTAACCTGTTCAAGTGACGTAATTAAGTATTTCGCAGCAGTAATTACTGGAGTGGGCCCAAATATGCGTTTGTCCCTGGTGTTATACTTGTCAACTTCTTGTAGCAATTTTAAAGTGTGGGAAGCTCTAGGACGATGTGGGGCGGTCACACTTAGTGTGTTTCTGTTCAACGTGTCTAACGGGATTAGTCCCACAACCAAAGAGTATTTCGGTTGGCATATTTGCCGTCTGCTGTAGTCAATCGAGATTGGGCCCGAGATGGGTCAACGTTCGATTGCTCAATATGCATGATTGTCCTCAGTTCTGTCGTTGCCTATGCGGTCAGTTTCCAAGGATGTGACGCAGGCCATGGAATTCGCTCCATCTGAAGTCTTCTTGACCTTATCTTGCCACCGGACGCGTAAAACTGAAGCTGGTGCCTCGTGCGCAAGCAACTACTGTGTCCTGCTGGAGACAGTGCTGATTTTCGCAGTGGAAGAATTCCAAATAAGAAAATATTCGTACACTGTTAAATTACGTCAGACGTCAATCGTTGAAGCGTTGTTGTCAAAAACAAACGCTTACCATGTTAACTGTCCTTGCATCTTTTTTTCTCTTTGTTCCGGATGTGCTGCACCTAGAGCGTTTGACAGTTTATAAAGGTTGAAATGGATTAAAATTCGCTTCATCATGTAAGGTCCGGCGCCTTTTCCTGGATTCCAGGCGCCAACCTTCAAAACGTCGGCCTGCTTATTTTTGGAGCAAGATGCAATGAAGTCAGAGCTGAGGACATCAAGGGTAGCACATATGTGTGAATTGAGCACCTGAAATGCTTTCCTGTTTATGCAACGATGTACAGGACCGTTAAACACATAGACATATCAAGCATGCCTGTATGAAGATAGCAAGAAAACGGGTTTAGAGTGTATGGAATCTATCGTACGATAAATGGCAAAACTTTCTTGTAAGGCCGCCTAAAGATATATTCCCCAGCCCAACTGTCTTGCGGAATTGGAGGTTAAAACTTTAATTCTTGGTTAACGACTGTAAATGAATATGTAATTATGTTGAAGGTGATCACAGAATATCAACTTATAATTGTTTTAACGAGCTAAGTATAATCAGCTTTACCGACATAAACTCCTGTTGGTCAGGCAACTGATACCTATTGATGGAAATTTGGCCTTATATTGGCGGAATTTAACAAAAAAGAGAGTGCCGAACTACTGAAAATATAAAGGTACTTTACTGTTATAAGTCAAAGACAACTAGAATTTCTAAAAAAAGTCCTACCCGGTAAATAAATGGTAGAATGTCAAAAGTGGTATATAAGAAATATAAGGAACTAAGTAAGTACCGTACCAACGACCAATTTGAAGTAGGATGTGTTCAGGTCCTGCCCTTTAGACACTGGCGGGGATTCAGCGGTATCAACAACTACGGGTTAGGGACGTGGAGTGTGTTGGCGGTGGAAGACCCGAGCGCTGGTTAGGGTAAGAGTGGAAGTAGCTGTCAGTGGTAGGGTGGGAAGAAAGGAACACCAGTCATTTTCGCTGACAAACATTTATACCATCCCCATCGAGGTTGTGCGCCAAGGTAGCTTCATCCCATTCAAACAAATCTGTCGAATTCATGATCCCCTAGAGTGTGTAGCCGACTGATTATTGTTTGCATTGCTCGATGTGTTCATTAAACTGCCTGATTGGACGGTGCTTTTTGTATTTTAGAAAAGCATCGCATTTAAGTGGACATGAGCAATGGTTTTACAGCTAACGCGACAGTCCACCAACTTCCTCGGTAAACTTCAGAAGAGCCTGATCGAAGGATTAGCCGTTACCCCCGCCGCCACATTGAGTAAAAGATTCTCTTCTTCGTGTCAATCAGTTTGCCTAATTTGTGAGATGCATAAGGGAAGCGAGGCTAAGAGAACATGTGATAACTATAGTATGGCGAGAGCTGCAAGTAAAATGTCGCAATTTACGAAAGACTGTTAATCACTCGCAAAATATCATTAAGTAGGGTTGCAATACTGTTTATCATGCAGTCTAATTTCAAGTCTCTTCATTCACGCCAGGATATCCACTCGTTAATGAGCTTCGTTCTGACCGCTTACAAAATGATATTATGTAAAAAATGGCTACTTATATAGTATGCATTTTCATTATGGATTTTAACTTCCTTCATAAATTCAAATATATTTTATGGAAAACATGCACGAAAATGTTTTTTCTTGTACTCATTTGGTAGGAAATTACGCCTTCTCTAAACTGTATACTCAAAGAAAGGGTATTCTTCTGTTTTAGGAAAATTTATAGTTATGAGACTTTTTATGACTGCTAGGTATTTATTCATATTACATCGTATCCGTCAATTTACTAATGTTGTCTATAATATATGGAAGATGATCCACATCTATTGCAAACTTTTATGAGAACTATGCGACCTCTTCCTTAAAACTGCAGGCAAACACTTTTTTGCCTTAAAGAGAATGTACACAGCATGCTGTTTGAAAACCTTGAATTTAGGTGTAGCAGTCGGTTAATTTCAAAATGTAGAAAAACTTAGAAAAATTTTTAAAATGACAGATGCTCTTTCTTCAGGTATACAATTTAAAGAAGACGAAATTTCCTACCAAGCAGGTACAAAAAAAGGAATACTTTCTTGCATCTTTTCTATAAAATGTACCTGAATTTATACAGGCAAAATCAAGGATAATAATATATACTATTTAAGTAGGCATTTATTTTACACTCTACATTTTGTAGACCGTCAGAAAGAAGCTCATTGAAAAGCGGGCATCCTGATGTGACTGAAAAGACTTGAGATTAGTCTGCATGATAATCAGTATTGTTGGTTTGCGAGTGATCAGCAGCCTTTCGCAAAGCGCGGCATTTTGCTTGCAACACTCGCCATACTGTGATTACCACAAAACGATAATCTCCTGATGTGCGCCTGGTATTTTCTATGACACTTTTAAATTTTGCAGGTTGGGGGGTGGGAGTGAAAGTGTTGTGTGGAACTGGAAGGCGGCTCCAAGGACAGCGGATATCAATCCAGTTACCTGCTGAGCCACGTATCTACACGCAGAAAAGTTATGAAGGCGCTTCAAAACCTGACCCACTTGGAGGAACGAGAATCAATGTGCCCAAGGTTTTAGATCCACTGCTGAACCAACTCTCAGGGGCAGTAGAAGATGTGAAAGTTCCACCATCGTATCCTACGAAGTCCATCATGGACAGCATTGCAAGGTAGGCCAGGAACGGCGACATGTGCTTGAACTTAATTATCGTGAGAATAAACTTGCACTGCGTCTACTGCACACTTTCCTTCTCCTCACCTGGACCTGGTGCCATGACCAAGTCAAGAAAAACGGAGACAGGAGGGAGGGATGCGGGTGGTTGACGTGGTCGTAGGTACCCCTAAGCGTACCACCAGGCTTGAGTCGGATCCCACGGAGTGGGAGTGCCGGCAGTAGAAGATAAAGATATTGGAACACATGCGAGTTGAACTATGTAGGAATGGAAGCGAATATTTGAGTTCCAGGCCTATATATGTGAGAAATGAAGGCAAGGACTGATCGAATACAGAAGCCAGATGTTTTCTTTTGCCTGCGATTTTAAACTTTATGAAGAAATGCCAAAAGACGGACGACAGTTATAAAGATTATTTGCCCAACAGTGGGCTGTGCGAAGCTCTCCATGACAGTGTCAGATCGATAAATCGGCTCCTTTATTTCTTACTCGAGGCTGAGGCTTTAATTGCCATTCAGCTAGATTTTTTTGTTGGAGATGTTTAGCTTAGTAGCTGAAAAGTTACATTCGTAACTAATTTCGAAAGCGTGGCCAGTCCTTTGTAACAATTCGTCATCCCGTCGCATAAACAGCTTATGTTCGCACAGGCGCTATCGGATCGCGCCGACATACAAAACTTCGCAAAGCCACCTTCAGACCTGCATCACTGATTGCTGATTGGCTAGCACCCCCCCGTCTATCACTATCGTCCACACTGGTGACAGGACGGGTCGAGAATTTATCGAAGCTTGAGCCTCGCATGAAGCTCAGTCAGATGATGTAGCGATTAAGTGTCGGCACTGATCTTTGGTTGGCGGACACGCCCTACAGTTCTTGCCTGTTTCGTTGCTGCTTTTATCTCTGGCGGTAGACTACTGCACGAGTTCGGTAGCTTAGCTAACGGAGCCAATTGCTCCGATACTCGGTCA